AGTTGCTCAACAGATGGTGTGTTGGTGGAGTGAAGCTGTTGCGGGTGGTTACTTCTTCACCACCCAATACACCTGTTTCCGGTGGTAATTGGTGTAGCAGGGAACAACACAGAGTGCAACACCACAGGTCTTGCATCCATAGTTCGTGTCCTTCCTTTTACCGGACCGTGCGCATGCATGACACTTGAGACGTTTGGGCAGTCTGTAAATTTCATGTTTCAGTTTGTAGTTCATGCGATTTTCTGAATCAACAATAGGGCGGCCAGGTCCTCTCGCTGGAGGTGTAACAGGAGTTGCAGGAGAGTCAGATTCATCTGACAAAACAGTTTCGTCAACTGGCAGTGTGGCAGACATGTCGGGTTCAGATTCGTTGTCTGCTTCATCTTGAGGTGGTGTAGTGAACAAAGGCCGCCTCACACCAGATGGTCCGGGAGTTGGCATGGCGTCAGCATTGGCAGGAGCTGTGTCATCATTTATGTCTGGAGTGTGCCGCAAGTGTTGAGATGATGATGATGTTTTAGGCCACTCCTCTGTGTCCCAGTGCAATAGGGCCCAGATTGCCACTTCGTGGAACTGTAGCAATGTTAGCTTTTTTCGATCAGTTGTGTTGTATTTGTACAAAACATAGGCATTATGCAATGCCATTTGCAGGAAATAAAAGGTAATCTTTTTGGTCCACTTGTGAGTTTTCCTGGTAAAATGGTAATATTTAACCATTTGATCTCGATGACCTGGAGGCTTCCTTGGGCGTAGAAGTGCTTGGGCCTTGACCTTGATCCATTTTTGATGAAGTAATTGGGTATAATCCACACGGAAACGGGTAAAAATGCTCGAGTTTGGCACGCGAGGGGAGCGTGATTGACTCACGACACGTGACACGAAAACAATGGGCCTGTCACGTGACTGGGTAGGCCGACGCGCCAGGCGGCCTAGTGGTGAGAAAGAGAACTTCATGGCGCGTCGTTTGAAACAAACCCCAATGAAATCGGATTAAAATTGAATTTTATACAAATATTTTAAAAGAAGACATAACTTTATGTCCACTATGCGTTTACGTTAGATGAAACCGGACGCGCCGGCGCGTTCAGATAGCGCGAAAGTGTTAAACAAGAATTATATTAAAACAATTCATTACAGTAAAAACTAAAGAATTATCTAATATTATAACAAATACAAATTTCTGAGAAACTGCATGTTCAGACTAGTTTCCTGCTCTAATTTAGGGATTTTGTCCACCTGGCAGCCTATATAATGTGCCTGCCTGCCCCTAGTGGACCCGCCCAGGCCATGTACTCTCAACCTTCGCATAACACCACATTGCCACGACATTAGTGAAACATTTTCTTAAATAACTTTGTTTTCATAGTAACTTTGATAATATTTTGCCAAGACTGTCTGGTGGCAGCAGCAATCATCCTGGAGGTGTTAAGAGAAGAAAAAGCTAGTCCTAACACCACCACAGACAACCAAATACAGTTTACTCATGTCTTCTGTTGACATGTTAATTAATTTTTCATCCAACTTTGCTAATACTGAAGTTGGAAACGTGTATCAGTACCTGAGGTGAACCAACGAACTGATCATAAGAGAGGCCAATGAACCAGCCTGACCTCTTATAAATTACATCTGAATTTAGCCGTTTACACATATGGCTGAAAACTGATGTAATTTTAAAATGAAAAAAATTGAAAATAAATTTCGGATTTTTTTTCCAAAACAGTAAGTTAAGGGTCCTCTGGTAGGTTAGGAGGGCAGGAAATTCTCTTAAAGTTTCAAAACGTCATGAAAAAAGTTAACTGAAAGTTTCCTCGCCTAACCTAACAGACTAAGCTGGAGAGGACCCAAACAGAAAATGTGACAGTACATCACTTTCGTGAGCTGGTTCATTTCAAATTACTTCAATTTTTGGCCATAGCGCACATACGACTGAAAAGTGACGTTATTTTTAAGAGGACGGGTTTAATTAACACAAGAGGCAAGCTAAACTTGATTCTTATTTAGTAAGAACAGCAACCAAAGGCTCTTCAACCAGTGAAGCCTCACAAGCAGGACAAGGACCTTCAACCAGTGAAGCCTCACAAGCAGGACAAGGACCTTCAACCAGTGAAGCCTCACAAGCAGGACAAGGACCTTCAACCAGTGAAGCCTCACAAGCAGGACAAGGACCTTCAACCAGTGAAGCCTCACAAGCAAGACAGGGACCTTCAACCAGTGAAGCCTCACAAGCGGGACAAGGACCTTCAACCAGTGAAGCCTCACAAGCGGGACAAGGACCTTCAACCAGTGAAGCCTCACAAGCGGGACAAGGACCTTCAACCAGTGAAGCCTCACAAGCGGGACAAGGACCTTCAACCAGTGAAGCCTCACAAGCGGGACAAGGACCTTCAACCAGTGAAGCCTCACAAGCAAGACAGGGACCTTCAACCAGTGAAGCCTCACAAGCGGGACAGGGACCTTCAACCAGTGAAGCCTCACAAGCGGGACAGGGACCTTCAACCAGTGAAGCCTCACAAGCGGGACAAGGACCTTCAACCAGTGAAGCCTCACAAGCGGGACAAGGACCTTCAACCAGTGAAGCCTCACAAGCGGGACAAGGACCTTCAACCAGTGAAGCCTCACAAGCGGGACAAGGACCTTCAACCAGTGAAGCCTCACAAGCGGGACAAGGACCTTCAACCAGTGAAGCCTCACAAGCGGGACAAGGACCTTCAACCAGTGAAGCCTCACAAGCGGGACAAGGACCTTCAACCAGTGAAGCCTCACAAGCAAGACAGGGACCTTCAACCAGTGAAGCCTCACAAGCAAGACAGGGACCTTCAACCAGTGAAGCCTCACAAGCGGGACAAGGACCTTCAACCAGTGAAGCCTCACAAGCGGGACAAGGACCTTCAACCAGTGAAGCCTCACAAGCGGGACAAGGACCTTCAACCAGTGAAGCCTCACAAGCGGGACAAGGACCTTCAACCAGTGAAGCCTCACAAGCGGGACAAGGACCTTCAACCAGTGAAGCCTCACAAGCGGGACAAGGACCTTCAACCAGTGAAGCCTCACAAGCAAGACAGGGACCTTCAACCAGTGAAGCCTCACAAGCGGGACAAGGACCTTCAACCAGTGAAGCCTCACAAGCGGGACAGGGACCTTCAACCAGTGAAGCCTCACAAGCGGGACAGGGACCTTCAACCAGTGAAGCCTCACAAGCGGGACAGGGACCTTCAACCAGTGAAGCCTCACAAGCGGGACAAGGACCTTCAACCAGTGAAGCCTCACAAGCGGGACAAGGACCTTCAACCAGTGAAGCCTCACAAGCGGGACAAGGACCTTCAACCAGTGAAGCCTCACAAGCGGGACAAGGACCTTCAACCAGTGAAGCCTCACAAGCGGGACAAGGACCTTCAACCAGTGAAGCCTCACAAGCGGGACAAGGACCTTCAACCAGTGAAGCCTCACAAGCGGGACAAGGACCTTCAACCAGTGAAGCCTCACAAGCGGGACAAGGACCTTCAACCAGTGAAGCCTCACAAGCGGGACAAGGACCTTCAACCAGTGAAGCCTCACAAGCGGGACAAGGACCTTCAACCAGTGAAGCCTCACAAGCGGGACAAGGACCTTCAACCAGTGAAGCCTCACAAGCGGGACAAGGACCTTCAACCAGTGAAGCCTCACAAGCGGGACAAGGACCTTCAACCAGTGAAGCCTCACAAGCGGGACAAGGACCTTCAACCAGTGAAGCCTCACAAGCGGGACAAGGACCTTCAACCAGTGAAGCCTCACAAGCAAGCCAAGGACCTTCAACCAGTGAAGCCTCACAAGCAAGCCAAGGACCTTCAACCAGTGAAGCCTCACAAGCAAGCCAAGGACCTTCAACCAGTGAAGCCTCACAAGCAAGCCAAGGACCTTCAACCAGTGAAGCCTCACAAGCAAGCCAAGGACCTTCAACCAGTGAAGCCTCACAAGCAAGCCAAGGACCTTCAACCAGTGAAGCCTCACAAGCAAGCCAAGGACCTTCAACCAGTGAAGCTTCAGCCGCTGGCAGCTAACACTGATCTTACCAAGCTCGTGAACAGTAATTTTAGTGTTGTGTTAGGTTATATAAATTTTCAAGAATTATTGATTTGAAGATAATACAAAGTACTGTACAGTGTTTTATGCAGCAAGGAAAGGAAGATGACCTACAGCAAGGTTCGCTGAAGTTTCTGTTTTAAATTAGTATTGTACCGGTATATTTTTTAATAGTGTGTGTGCGGGGAAATTAAAATTGATTGGTTGTGGTAAAAAAAGTTGCGATTACGTTCACTTTTGAACATCTCCGGTAAAAATTCTGCTTATCCGCATGTCTGGCTTATCTGGCGGGAGGTCCTTCCCATATAATTTGGATAAGTGAGCTTAGACAACACTTAAGTATATTTATGATGGAGTGGGGTGGGTGGGTGGTGTATCAGGCACAAAGTACCTTATACAAGGTGTTTCTATCAGTGAATTTCTTTTCCTACAGGTTGCAAATTGTTCTAATCATTTTTCTTAAGTTAATAATAAATGTAAATTTATAACTCTGATATAAGAACTTTCCTCCTGCTTGCATTTAATATTTTCAGCACATAACCTCATTGTTCCTTCAGCTATATAGAGAAAACAGCATAATTTCTAAATGTCTGCAGTAACTCCGTTGTGAATTAAAATATTAGGAAGGGAGATAGAAAGTCATCTTTTGTGATCCTGTCAACAGTATAAGATATTTGTCTTTCCATGTAATTTCAAATGTGATGATTTTCCTGTGCATTATTCTGTTGTTTGTTTTAATTAAATTTTTGTCAGGTGTGCTTTTCTTACTTAGTGTTAACTTGTGAAAGTTGTTAGCAGTGGCAGTCGAGATGATGTTAAATTATCAGGGGTGACGGTACAAATCTGAGGTGCATCACCATTCACTCATTCTTATGATTAGATCTAATGTATATAGATGAATGAGGTCATTTTATTTATTAATACAAAGATATTCACTCTAGAACTGGACCAGATGACTGGTGTGGCAGCCATTCTCCGCTTCCCCATGCCAGAGATAGAGGAGGAAGACCATGCGTTAGATTCGGACGAAGAATAATATGAATATTAAATAGCAATCCTCTTTGTAGATTTTTTTTTTAAAGTATGCAGTTCATTGTTTTTAACAACATTGATACAATATTTTTGTTTATAATCCAGATTTATGGGTAGACCACAATCTCTTGTGTTTTACTGCAATGTAAAAGTTTTATTTTGAAATCGTATAAAGTGTGTGAACTGTGGGAGTAATTGCCACAATTATTAAAAGATGATCCTAAATATAGCAGTAGACATATGTACACCAGATATTATGGATTGCATTATAAATGCATGTATAACTTCTATGTATATAACTAAAATAAAGTGGAGTGATGACTGTTGTAAATAACTAATTGATTGTCCCTTGAACAAGCTTGTCAGCCAGTGGTCATAAATTATCATATAATTTTGATTTGTTCCAACAAGACTCCTGGTGACCATTTATGTGTCGGCTACAACATTAAGGACAGGAATACGAAGCCGAGCCCCTTTGATAAGTTTGTGAAACACTACCCAACTAGCTAGTTCATTATTAGAGTTGAGTAACATTAGTTTGATTTATATATTTGATAGTGTTAATTTGTCAATATTTGGGTGATCAAATTTATTTAATGAAACAAATTTACAATATTCCATGGTAGCAAGGACAAAAAATGTTTTGTTTTGGGCCATTACTTATGTTTTCACAGTATTGGTATGAACCAATTAAATAACACGCACGTTTCTCCACACGCATTTATCACTCGTCTAACACCATTGGATATCTTTTTCTTTTAATTGAAACTATTGTATGTGTAAAAATCTTTAATGAACTTACAAGTATTTTACATTTTTGCCTACAAAATAATTTTGTATGCATTTTGTCAGAGTTCATATAATTATATAGGAACCAGTTCATATAATTCTAACAAGATTAATATTAAAACTGTATGGTGCTGAATATTTATCCAGAACAAAATGGCAGAATGGGGGAAACATTTGACTGTTTTGTAGCTAAAGATGACATGTAAGTGAAGTAGATACCAGAGATGTAATCATCATGTTCACTACTTTGTCAAGATGTTTTATGTATCACAATAATTTACATTAAAAGATAATTATCCAAAGTTTTTTTTACATTTTAATACTGTAGTTAAGCACAAACATTATTTTTCCCCTGATACTGTATGAAAGAGGTTGTGAAATAGTTAAATTTAAGTAGTAAAAATATATACATTTTTTCTGAACTCTAGAATTTGTCTTTCAAATCCATACATCTTTTCTGTTTCTGTTAAGTTTTTTGAGAGTAAAAAGTGAATATGTATATACTGTATTGTTATTATCAAGATAGTATAATAATACAGTATAAAAACACAATTTTGTTTTAAATGTGATATTTAAATATAATGTTCATATGTTAAAAGTAACATGGCTTAATTAATGAGGAAAGGCTTTATAGTTTCTGAGCTCAGCTTCAGTAAAGACTCAAACTGAATTTGAAAACTGTTATTTACAAGCCTAAGGAAATACAATACTTTGTAGCTACATAATTAAGTGAAACTATGATTACAAGTCTAGATTTTTTATTTTTAAGCTATTTTTCAGAGCACAAAGACAATACTGTACCATAATTATTGACTAAAGTTTGTGTTAAATGTTTATTTGCATTACTTTAATGTTACGAGCTGTAGTAAAGTGTATTGGAAAAACCCAATGTTCAAGTGTATCATTTTAACAGATACTTGGGTATAAGTTATGACTTTGTTATTTAGCATTCACGATACAAATACAGTACTACTATATAATTGGAACTGTATATACAGCATTTGCATGTACTAGTAAGGGCAAAGTGCAACCTTTCTAAAAGGCGGAAATCCATTAACTCCATCTGGGATTGTAACAGCCAGCATCTCTTAAACTAGTTCATGAAGTTGACAGAAAAGCACAAATGTTAGATATGTAAGAGTTTCACACTAGTCCTTGTGTAGCATTTGCTGCAAATAACAAAATAGCTGTTCTAATGAACTAACGAAAAATGAACTATTTTCTAATGAAAATAGCTGTAAAGGGGAAGCTATTGAGTAAAATATTATGGTGGACAGCAGCACTGTGACTACAGCAGCACCAGCACGTCTCCCCATCATGGTTTCTTCCATATTTCTTATGGAATATAAGTGTGTAAACTTGTCAGTTTTATCCTATATAGTCGTAAATTATTAGTAAATTAGTAAGATGTATAAGCTTAATAAACATTTTGCATTATACAGCTCTGGAAGCTTTGACAAGTCTTCTCAGATACTATAAATTAGGTTGCCATAAAATTTTTTAAATTATTTCCAGGAAAATTTAGGGGATATAATTTAGCTATTCTATATCAGAACAGTCATCACTTGATTACTTTTAACACTACTAATAATGTGATAAAAGGCAATTTTGTCTAATTATGCTTGTTAAATATTAGACTTGTTCTTCAGTAAAAAAAAAATAATAATCAGAAAATTGTAAGATTGTGAGTCGTGTTCCCATAAATTGCCAGAAAGTTAATGCAGGTCAAAATGTCAAAATGAGAGGGAAGAGTTTGGTGGTGATAAAGAAGGACCAGGACAATGTGGCTACGTGAGCGTTCTGGAGGTGTTTGACCTCGTCAGGTTAAGTGCCCTCAGTATACTTTGTCTAATATAAAAACATTAGTCAAAATAAATTGGTATAACATTAAGCCACTTGGTCTTTGGCCAAACCTCTATTATATAATAAATATATAACAAACATATTTACAGGGTTTGTTGTTCTTTCTCCATTTTTAAGTTAAAAATTGCATAAAGGGAAAACCATAAAAAAAATCAAATTACTTGCAGAAAGTCGAAGATTAGCAGGTATAAGAAGTTGAAGATTAGCAGGTATAAGAAGTTGAAGATTAGCAGGTATAAGAAGTTGAAGATTAGCAGGTATAAGAAGTTGAAGATTAGCAGGTATAAGAAGTTGAAGATTAGCAGGTATAAGAAGTTGAAGATTAGCAGGTATAAGAAGTTGAAGATTAGCAGGTATAAGAAGTTGAAGATTAGCAGGTATAAGAAGTTGAAGATTAGCAGGTATAAGAAGTTGAAGATTAGCAGGTATAAGAAGTTGAAGATTAGCAGGTATAAGAAGTTGAAGAAATGATTTAATATGATAGAGTAGATGTGCCAAGAACACAATAGTTGGAGGAAATGGATATGAAGTCTTGTGGATACTACATCTACTTTATGAAAATACTAAAAAGGTGAATATTATTGTATAAAGTATTCCTTGCCTAATGGTGGTTAAAGTAAGATCCAACTGCAGAGCCCTGTCTCGTTGCTATTGTGCATGGGAGATTCATACTTCCTGACATTCAGAGAGGACTCCTATGGTGGCTTCTTGGTGCTAGTTACCTGGCAAGCAAAACCCAATTCTATCCACACCAGGCTCTTGAGTCATACAAGTCTGCCGGGGAATACATGTCAAAACTTGGCTCCCTTTTAAAGAGGTACAAAGAGCAAAAAGTCACCCTAATCAAGGAAAGGCCACCAGAAATGTGGGTGTGTCAATACAGATGACAGCAAGGTAAACAAAATGAAAATGGGATAGAGAAGCCCTGAGACTTGAACTACTTGGCGATTGTCAAACAATTCTAGTCTAGTTCTAGTCGGTGCACTACAAGGAGTAAGGTACACAAGAATGTGTACCTTGCTCCTTGAATCACCAACCTCACCAACCTCCTTGAACCACCACCACAGTCATTACCTGGTGCTCAAGTTAAACGCCTTTGCTGTTATACTTCTTTCTGCCCCAGTGTCTTTCAGTTTCCACTTTTCAGGTAACTCCTTGCCATCCTGGATTTTTTTCTCCTGCCGAAGGGCCATTTGCTTGTGTATTTGTTTTAGATTTTAGTATTTACTTCATGATGAATGTATATCAGTACCTCACATTTTGCATGGACCCTGATTAACTGTCTCCAACTGCATGTGCCTAATTTTCGTCTCTGTAGGTGCTCTCTGACATTGCTCTGGCTTGCAGAAAGTTGGAACCTAAACCAGTCAGTCATTGAGGTAGTCCAAGACCCAGACCCCAACAACCCTAGATTCGATACTTTGACCCAGATAAAGTTGGTGGAGCCAGGGCCCCCTCCCTGTCCGGCCCATTGCTGCCGTGAATGGGGCTTGGCGGGCAGTTGCCGGAGTGTGATGCTCCATGGAACAGTCCTCTGTCCTTTTGTGGCCTTATGCTCCTGCTGCTGTCCTCTCGAATTCTCTCGACGGCTCAGTCTCTCATTGTGACTACTGCGCCTTTTAACCCCTCTCTCTGGGGGTTCTCAACGCCGTCAACGCTACGGCCGCACTCGCTCGATCTCTTCCCATACTGATGAGTACAAAGCCTTGTTTGGTCCTGCTTCGTGGGTCAAATACTTTGATCTCCTCCCTCTGGATTCTACACCTCCTGACGACTTTTCCCTCCATAGGCACCTTGTTGATTCAGTAGATGCATCTGTTACTTTCATCCCCACCCGTCTCGGTACATGTGTCATTGCTGCTGCTCCTCAGGATGCAGCCACCCGCTTGGCCGCCTTATCCTGCCTTGGTGAGACCCCTGTTCGGGTCTCCAAGAATGCTCGGTTGAATGGCAGTGTTGGAACTGTTCTCCTCCCACCCCATGTTGCAACCAGTGTTAGGAATCTATAGGATTGCCACGAAGATATTCGGCATATCCTCAAAGCCCAGGGCTATTCTGTCCTCCAGGTAGACACGTTTACTTGTACCCCTTGTGGTCGTCGCCATCAACCCCTTCGGGTTGTGAAGATTACCTTTGATGGTAGGACCCTTCTGCCCTCTGTCATTCTTGCTGATGCCAGGCGCTCCGTCCAGGAGTACATTCCTTCTCCTCGGCTCTGTAATAAGTGCTGAAGGTTTGGGCATGGTGCCCTTCGATGCTCTAGTACTCTCTGTCCCTTGTGTGGGGACGAAGGTCACTCTAAGTCAAAGTGCACTTCTCTCCGGGCTCGCTGCCTCAATTGCAGTGAGGCCCACCCTACCTTCTCCCGTGCCTGTGTACATTACAAACTTGAGGCAACCTTCCTCACCTTGAAGCACCGGGAACATTTGTCTCTTCCTGAGGCGAGGCGCCTAGTTCACCGTCTCCCCCCTTTCGTTGGTGTATCTTACGCTCGCGTGTTGTGCTCTTCCTCTCCTCGTCCTTCCCACCTTCCTCAGTCTCTCAACTGTTTCCAGGCCTTAGACCCAGATGCGCCACTGCCGCCGCCTCTGTTCCTTTAAGTTCTGTCCCGAATGGTCCCCCTCCTGGTTCTCTGTCTGGGGGTTCCCCTTCTTTCTACCCAGTCTGTCTTGTCTTCTGTGTCTTCTTCCTCGTCTCCCTCCGATTCTCCTTCCCATCCTTCTCCTTTGTCTCTTAGCTCTCCACGCTGCCTGTCTATGCGGGCTGATGTCCATTACTCTCCCAGCGGCCATCATGTTGTTTGCTCTCGTTCTTCTTCTGTTGAGATGCTTGAATCTGTTGCCCAGTACGTTGTGCTGGGACGCGTTCTCGTTGAGTTAGAAACGCAAGTTCTTACCCTCCTCTTCCCTGGAGGGTAAGAAGGCTTTGCTTTCTTTCTCTCCCCTACCTCTGACAGACTCACTCCGTCCTCTCCCGTTTCGGTGGTTGCGCCCCCTGTTCCTGCTATGAAGGTTTCTTTGGTTGCTGCCCTTGCTGAGGTGCACTCCCTGGTTTCTGCCCTTCCTGCTGCTGTCCTTGACCCTCGGTTGCTCCCCCCCCCATTCCTCCTCCTCCGGACCCTGCTCGTCTTCCTCTGGTCTGTCCTCCCGCTCCCTTCCCTCCATCCTTGCTCAGTTTACCCATGCCCCTGACTTCACTGACCCTGATCCTGATCCTGCGCTTCTTTAACGTGCTGTGTTCCTTTTCCCCCTTTGTTTCTTCATTATCCTCTGTTGCTGTCCTTTTTCTTCTTGTTGATGTTTATTCTTCAATGGAATATTTGCAGATATTATGCCAATTTCCGTGAACCCCAACTTCTGATTTCACACTTTTCACACCTTTGTGTCTTTCTCCAGGAGCCAATGCTTGGTGCTTGTCCTGGTTGCTTCCTCTTTCTCTTCCCCCACCCCCCCCAGCTTTTGCTGGGGCCCGTTCCTCTTCTGCTTTCTTGATTCGTTCTGATGATGTTCCCTTTGTCACCCTCCCCCCTACTTTTTCCGTCACCTCTCCAATGTTCTGCTGCACGTGTCTTTGTGCGTAAATGGTACACGGTTTGTTCCATTTACCTCCCCAAATGTCCAGCTTTCTCTTCCCAATCTTAAACCACCTACTGGTGGTTTAAGATTGGAATTGATTGATCACCCTTGCCAGAGCCTGTGCTCCTGCTGGGTGATTTTTTTTGTCGACATACCCTCTGGGGTGATGTTCTGACAAACACCTGGGGTCGCCTTCTCGAACCGTTCGTCCTCTCATCTTCTCTTTAACCATGTCGTAGCTCAGTCGATTAAGGCAACGTCTGGGATGCTTCTGGACGCAGGTTCGAATCCTTGTTGATTTGTTCTTCCCTGTCTCTTCTAAATTCTGGTGAGCCCACTCATTTGGACTCTCGGATTCGCACTCTTTTCTGTCTTGATCTTTCTCTCTGGTCGTTGTCGCTTTATTTGGATTTCACGTGGCAGGTTCTTGAAGACCTCCATGGAAGTGACCATTTCCCCATCCTTATTACCTTTTTCTCTTTTCACCCTCCCCTCTCCTTCCCTAGGTGGCAGTCTGGAACCTATTTACACTCAGTGCTGCTCTCTCTGACCTCTCCCTTCTGCCTTTTCCTCGTGCCCTTCTCCTTTTTCATGACACCATCTTCGACAGTACCCTCTGCTCTATTCCTCGCACTTCCTCTCGGGGACCACGGAAGTGCATTCCCTGGTGGAATGTTTACTGTGCTCGGGCCGTCCGCTGTAAGCGTGCAGCCTGGAAGAGAGACCGCCGCCGGCAGATGGCTGATTTTTTCCTTTTGTTTCTGAATGCGTGTGCGGTGGCCAGTAGGGCTATCTGTACAGCTAAGCGTGAGTGTTGGAAGTCTTATGTTTCCACCATTACATCTGAAACTCCTCTGCCACAGATCTGGAAGCGTATCCGCAAGATAGCGGGTAAATTCGTTCCCGATGTTTCACCGGTCCTTCACCTCCGTGGTACTCTTGTGGCGGACCCGTTGCAGGTTGCTACCGAACTGGGTTCCCACTTTTCTTTTGTTAAATCTGGTCTTCATCTTCCCCAATCTTTCCTTCTTTGTAAACCTGTCCTTGAATCTCGTCCTTTCGATTTCTGCACTCGTCTTCGACTTCCCTATAACGATCCCTTCTCTCTCTCTGAACTTCGTTTTGCCCTGGCCCTCTGCGGTTCTACGGCAGCGGGCTCCGATGGCATTCATTATGAGATGCTTTGCCATTTCCCTCCGTGCACGTCTCAGTATTTATTGAGTCTGTATAATCGGATCTGGGAGTCGTCATCAGTCCCTGAGGACTGGCTCGATGCCGTTGTCCTCCCTGTTCACAAACCAGGGTCTTTGGGTACTTCCCCTAAGGACTTTCGCCCTATTGCCCTCACAAGTTGTGTCTGCAAACTCTTTGAATGTATGGCTAACGTTCGTCTGATGTGGTTCCTGGAACACCATCACCTCCTCTCCCCTTCTCAATTTGGTTTCCGCTTGCCGCAGCACAACAGATGTCCTGGTGAACTTGGAGGTCTATATTCGTACTGCTTTTG